CTTGATTGACAGTCAGGTATATAGGAGTTCTCTTGATTGACAGTCAGGTATATAGGAGTTCTCTTGATTGACAGTCAGGTATGTGGGAGTTCTCTTGATTGACAGTCAGGTATAAAGGAGTTCTCTTGATTGACAGTCAGGTATATAGGAGTTCTCTTGATTGACAGTCAGGTATGTGGGAGTTCTCTTGATTGACAGTCAGGTATATAGGAGTTCTCTTGATTGACAGTCAGGTATATAGGAGTTCTCTTGATTGACAGTCAGGTATATAGGAATTCTCTTGATTGACAGTCAGGTATATAGGAGTTCTCTTGATTGACAGTCAGGTATATAGGAGTTCTCTTGATTGACAGTCAGGTATATGGGAGTTCTCTTGATTGACAGTCAGGTATAAAGGAGTTCTTTTGATTGACAGTCAGGTATATAGGAGATCTCTTGATTGACAGTCAGGTATATAGGAGATCTCTTGATTGACAGTCAGGTATATAGGAGTTCTCTTGATTGACAGTCAGGTATATAGGAGTTCTCTTGATTGACAGTCAGGTATATGGGAGTTCTCTTGATTGACAGTCAGGTATAAAGGAGTTCTTTTGATTGACAGTCAGGTATATAGGAGATCTCTTGATTGACAGTCAGGTATATAGGAGATCTCTTGATTGACAGTCAGGTATATAGGAGTTCTCTTGATTGACAGTCAGGTATATAGGAGTTCTCTTGATTGACAGTCAGGTATATAGGAGTTCTCATGATTGACAGTCAGGTATATAGGAGTTCTCTTGATTGACAGTCAGGTATATAGGAGTTCTCTTGATTGACAGTCAGGTATGTGGGAGTTCTCTTGATTGACAGTCAGGTATATAGGAGTTCTCTTGATTGACAGTCAGGTATATAGGAGTTCTCTTGATTGACAGTCAGGTATATAGGAGTTCTCTTGATTGACAGTCAGGTATATAGGAGTTCTCTTGATTGACAGTCAGGTATATAGGAGTTCTTTTGATTGACAGTTATAGATTGGTGTATCAAGTTGTAAAACATGCAACTTAGATATATATGCACCCATAGTACACCTCACTAATTCTGCATGTATTTCTAAATAGAAATGTGATTATAGTTAAATATTAGACAACTAAATATAGTTAATTCTGGGTAATTTGAGTGGAAACAATTGTTATTGTTAATGAAAATTATAAACATGGGCTACAATGAACTGTTTTATGTCATCTCTTAGAACATTCTAATTCATGGGTTACTTAAAGGAGCTTTATATTAACAATGCAAATGTTGTCAGAGGTTTGACAGAGGAGGGTCAAACCTTCTGAAATATCACAGGTGACAGCAATGTTTACAAGATTGTTATTGAAGATCCATAGTTAGATATATATCAGCTCTATAGAAGACCTAAAGTCAGGTGTAGAGGGGATATATTGAGGAACATCCATAGTCAGGTATATGGGAGATATATTGAGGAACATCCATAGTCACATATATAGGGGATATATTGAAGAACATCCATAGTCATGTATATGGGAGATATATTGAGGAACACCCAAAGCCAGGTATATAGGAGATATATTGAGGAACACCCAAAGCCAGGTATATAGGAGATATATTGAGGAACATCCATAGTCAAGTATATGGGAGATATATTGAGGAACACCCAAAGCCAGGTATATAGGAGATATATTGAGGAACATCCATAGTCACATATATAGGAGATATATTGAAGAACATCCATTTTCAGGTATATCGGAGATATATTGAGGAACATCCATAGTCACATATATAGGAGATATATTGAGGAACATCTGTAGTCGGGTATATAGGAGATATATTGAGGAACATCCATAGTCAGGTATATCGGAGATATATTGAGGAACATCCATAGCCACGTATATAGGAGATATATTGAGGAACATCCATAGTCACGTATATAGGAGATATATTGAGGAACATCCGTAGTCAGGTATAGAGGAGTTACATTGAGGAACATCCATAGTCAGGCATAGAGGAGTTACATTGAGGAACATCCATAGTCACATATATAGGAGTTGTATTGAGGAACATCCATAGTCGGGTATAGAGGAGTTATATTGAGGAACATCCTTAGTAGGATATAGAGGAGTTATATTGAGGAACATCCATAGTCAAGTAGAGAGGAGTTACATTGAGGAACATCCATAGTCAGGTAGAGAGGAGTTACATTTAGGAACATCCATAGTCGGGTATAGAGGAGTTATATTGAGGAACATCCATAGTCGGGTATAGAGGAGTTATATTGAGGAACATCCATAATCGGGTATAGAGGAGTTATATTGAGGAACATCCATAGTCGGGTATAGAGGAGTTATATTGAGGAACATCCATAGTCGGGTATAGAGGAGTTATATTGAGGAACATCCATAGTCGGGTATAGAGGAGATATATTGAGGAACATCCATAGTCGGGTATAGAGGAGTTATATTGAGGAACATCCATAGTCGGGCATAGAGGAGATATATTGATGAACATCCATAGTCGGGTATAGAGGAGTTATATTGAGGAACATCCATAGTCGGGTATAGAGGAGTTATATTGAGGAACATCCATAGTCGGGTATAGAGGAGTTATATTGAGAAATATCCATAGTCGGGTATAGAGGAGATATATTGAGGAACACCCAAAGCCAGGTATATAGGAGATATATTGAGGAACACCCAAAGCCAGGTATATAGGAGATATATTGAGGAACATCCATAGTCGGGTATAGAGGAGATATATTGAGGAACACCCAAAGCCAGGTATATAGGAGATATATTGAGGAACATCCATAGTCACATATATAGGAGATATATTGAAGAACATCCATTTTCAGGTATATCGGAGATATATTGAGGAACATCCATAGTCACATATATAGGAGATATATTGAACAACATCCATTTTCAGGTATATCGGAGATATATTGAGGAACATCCATAGTCGGGTATATAGGAGATATATTGAGGAACATCCATAGTCAGGTATATCGGAGATATATTGAGGAACATCCATAGCCACGTATATAGGAGATATATTGAGGAACATCCATAGTCACGTATATAGGAGATATATTGAGGAACATCCGTAGTCAGGTATAGAGGAGTTACATTGAGGAACATCCATAGTCAGGCATAGAGGAGTTACATTGAGGAACATCCATAGTCACATATATAGGAGTTGTATTGAGGAACATCCATAGTCGGGTATAGAGGAGTTATATTGAGGAACATCCTTAGTAGGATATAGAGGAGTTATATTGAGGAACATCCATAGTCAAGTAGAGAGGAGTAACATTGAGGAACATCCATAGTCAGGTAGAGAGGAGTTACATTTAGGAACATCCATAGTCGGGTATAGAGGAGTTATATTGAGGAACATCCATAGTCGGGCATAGAGGAGATATATTGAGGAACATCCATAGTCGGGTATAGAGGAGTTATAATTAGGAACATCCATAGTCGGGTATAGAGGAGTTATATTGAGAAACATCCATAGTCGGGTATAGAGGAGATATATTGAGGAACATCCATAGTCGGGTATAGAGGAGTTATATTGAGGAACATCCATAGTCGGGCATAGAGGAGATATATTGAGGAACATCCATAGTCGGGTATAGAGGAGTTATATTGATGAACATCCATAGTCGGGTATAGAGGAGTTATATTGAGGAACATCCATAGTCGGGTATAGAGGAGTTATATTGAGAAACATCCATAGTCGGGTATAGAGGAGATATATTGAGGAACATCCATAGTCGGGTATAGAGGAGTTATATTGAGGAACATCCATAGTCGGGTATAGAGGAGTTATATTGAGGAACATCCATAGTCGGGTATAGAGGAGTTATATTGAGGAACATCCATAATCGGGTATAGAGGAGTTATATTGAGGAACATCCATAGTCAGGTATAGAGGAGATATATTGAGGAACATCCATAGTCGGGTATAGAGGAGTTATATTGAGGAACATCCATAGTCGGGTATAGAGGAGTTATATTGAGGAACATCCATAGTCGGGTATAGAGGAGATATATTGAGGAACATCCATAGTCGGGTATAGAGGAGTTATATTGAGGAACATCCGTAGTCAGGCATAGAGGAGTTATATTGAGGAACATCCGTAGTCAGGTATAGAGGAGTTTTTAGAGCAACATGTGTAACTACAGAATTACATGCTGGCCAGATGGTCTGTCTGCTAGCTCCCAGTTATGATGTATACTTCATTTAATAATTACCATACTAATGTGGAGTAGCAATATCTCAGTTATACACACGTCCCTAGATACAGCATCCAGATGTGGACAGGAACAACTGTTGTTGTTGTTGTTGTTGTTGTTATTATGTCAGACAGTTCAATACAGTTAATATTGTTGATGAAGAGTATTAACATGGGATACAATGAACTGTTTTATGTGATCTCTCATTCATGGATTACTAAAGGAGCTTTATATTAACAATACAAATGTCGGCAGAGGTTGAACAGAAGAGGGTCCAACAGGTGGTACAGGTGATACAGGTGATACAGGTGGTACAGGTGATACATGTGATACATGCGATACATGCGAGACATGTCACTAGCTAGTACCAGCAACAGTCAAGTTTAAATACAGGAAGTACGGGGTTACAGGGATACAGGCCCTTCCAGGCTGGTTACACCGTACAGTTCTCCTGCTATAGAAGTACAGTAACCATTGACAACTTTCCACTAGTCATGCATGAGGATTTGGCTTCTGGCTAATCCCATTGCTTAGGCTGATTTGTTATTCATGACTGACCACCTGACCATATTCTGAACCTGAGGGTTCATTGGACCAGACTGTTGCCCTGGCAATGCAGGTCAGGCATTGCAGCCATGAACACATAATGTTCCTACCTCCTGTTGCCTCGTATCATGCACATGACACACAGTGCTGACATTTACCAAAGGTCACTGTGATACAGAAATGCCAAATCAAAGATTAACCGCTCGTCTTCTTGCCAGAAGTGCAGGTAAGGTTGCAGTCGTCTCAGACAGGATGTTGTCTCTCACTAGGAGTTAAGACAGGGTGGAGGAGAAACGATCATGTTGAACATGTTCAGAATAATGAAGACTGTGTTACAACTGACGGCTTCATTACAACTTACAACACTTCTCCGGGTCATCAATCAGGGCTGACATAAGACCCTCTCTGGTAGAAGATCAAGGCGCTGATGTCTGCTAATATGCAGGGCATCAGGCACTTCAAGGAATTACCATTTGTGATTATTTCTGCAGGTTTCAAGTTTATTGTGTGACTGGATAATTTGACAAATTCCTGAAAGATGTACAGCTTGGGTTTTGTGTGAAACGACAGAGCCGTGATGGCCAGTGTCTGATCTACGTGTGCAGACATGCTTTATGAATAACACCCAAGTTTGATTACAGTTTTTAGATGGAAAGTAACATGGCTGATATTGAAATATTGTGAACCTGATAGACAATATGGAATGTGAGATGAAGTGTGATATGTTATGAAAGATGACAGGTGGCATACCAGTGCCCATTTTAATGAATCTCTCCAAGATAATTATCAAGGGTTTCATGCCATGTGATGTGATGGTTGATATTTTCTGCTGAACATATTGTCCTACGCTGGCACAGGCTTAGTCGGGTTCAAGGATCTACTGCTCAGGATTACTTTGAGCTTTCTGGCGATTAGGACCATGGCTTACTGAAGTACTTATTGTGCTGTATTGAAGACTATATTCTGGCTGTGACACATTGTCTATTGAATCAGGACGTTATATGACAGAATGACCCAGTGAAGCTTGAGTAGAGTGTTGTGGGATAACACAGGAGTATTCCCATGTAGGACATTGTTGGGAGACACTATGTATAACACTGTAACTACAGATGATGGTGTTGTTATCTGTAACATCCAACCGGAGACCTCACACAATGGACACCACCATCACCTTCTCATTAAAAGTAGGTCATTGTTGCACAACTGAACATTGAAGTAGATGCCTGAGTGAGTGAGTGAGTGAGTGAGTGAGTGAGTGGGTGAGTGAGTGAGTGGGTGGGTCTGTGGGTGACTGAGTGAGTGAGTGAGTGAGTGAGTGGGTGGGTGGGTGAGTGAGTGAGTGGGTGGGTGGGTTTTTGGGTGGGTGGGTGAGTGAGTGAGTGAGTGAGTGAGTGAGTGAGTTGGTGAGTGAGTGAGTGAGTGAGTGGGTGGGTGGGTGGGTCTGTGGGTGACTGAGTGAGTGAGTTGGTGGGTCTGTAGCTGGGTGAGTGAGTGAGTGAGTGGGTGGGTGGGTTTTTGGGTGGGTGGGTGAGTGAGTGAGTGAGTGAGTGAGTGAGTGAGTGAGTGGGTGGGTTCTTGGGTGGATGAGTGAGTTTTACTTCAGCCAAAATTATGAGAAACATATAATGAAGAACCAGACTCCCTACTAATACTAAATTACAAACATCCGTGGAAGCCTGCCCCTGTGAAGCATGCTGTGCAGCTTCTTGTAAGTACATGTAATGTAACCTGTCTGGCCAGAAAACATGTTCCTCGTTGCTGATGCACATGGATGTATAAACACTGTGCATGAGGAGCAATGACAATATCCTTGTTGTCATGGATTTCTTTGACTGTTTCAGATGGGGAGGATGTGAGCTTGCTGCATACTAAATTTGAGGTGAGTTGGAAATAAAAAAATTTTTAATATAAAATAATGATAAAAAATACACGGTTGTTTAGGTTACATATGTGAACATTAACTGAACAAGTCTGGCTCAGATCATCCTCGATTATCCATTGTTCCATATTTGTTATAATAAACACCCTGGTCCCAAACACCACCATAGCTTTGTGTGGAGCCTCATTCAAATTACAGACATTGAAATCCATTGGACGAGATGAATTCTGTTTTATGTATTAGATGACTGATGGAAGTGGTGATATCACTTCTGAAGCTAAGCAATGGTGATGAAAGGTCCAGGATCTTAGATCAAAATGTAGTTCCCTGGGTTATTGAAGAGTGTCTCTTCTACAGGTATTGCAAACTCCATCAATGGGGACTCCAGCATATTGGCAGCTGTAACTCAATTTGTTGATGTTTCTAGTTAAGGACGACCCTAATTGCATGGAGACAATGTCTCAGTTTACACAGCAACAACAGATCGTATAAACCGGAGTCTACTTGAAGAAACTTCTCTCAGCACCAAGACTATTGTAACTTGTACCCTCACACACAGACTTACAATGGTTGTTGTTCAAAGATCACTTTGTGCAGGTTGTCTGTGTACCCCAAAGTTGCTATTCACATGAACAGTATCATTATTGATCCAGGTCAGAATAGGTCTTCAGCAACCCATGTTTGCCGTAAAAGTCGACTATGCTTTTTGTAAGAGGCGACTAACAGGATCGGGTGGTCAATTGCGTGGATCTATGCTCAGGATGTCATGGCCGAAGGTTGATTACTTACACTGTGACATAGCCACAATGTCACTGATAATCACACACTCACTACCAAGTCTGCAACCTTCTCTCTTTAGGCGCTTCCTGTGAAAGATTTCTCGGCTGAAGTGCGGGCGTCGCGGGACGTGGAGAGTTACCTGAAGGATGCAACTCTCCTGCTGGACCTCCATGAGACAGGGATGCAGGAAATTGTCAACATCATGCTCAACCGCGTCATCAAAAACCAGGACAATCCAGAGTTCGACATCGGAGAGGCTAAAGCATCTCTGTACACAGCTGACTCAGGTGGGTTAATTAACATCTCTTTATACAGCTGACTCAGGTGGCTTAATTAACATCTCTTTATACAGCTGACTCAGGTGGGTTAATTAACATCTCTTAATACAGGTGGGTTAATTAACATCTCTTAATACAGGTGGGTTAATTAACATCTCTTTATACAGGTGACTCAGGTGGGTTAATTAACATCTCTTAATACAGGTGACTCAGGTGGGTTAATTAACATCTCTTAATACAGGTGGGTTAATTAACAACTCTTAATACAGGTGGGTTAATTAACGTCTCTTAATACAGGTGGGTTAATGAACATCTCTTAATACAGGTGGGTTAATTAACGTCTCTTAATACAGGTGGGTTAATTAACATCTCTTAATACAGGTGGGTTAATAAACATCCCTTAATACAGGTGGGTTAATAAACATCCCTTAATACAGGTGGGTTAATTAACATCTCTTAATACAGGTTGGTTAAATAACATCTCTTAATACAGGTGGCTTAATTAACATCTCTTAATACAGGTGGGTTAATTAACATCTCTTAATACAGGTGGGTTAATAAACATCCCTTAATACAGGTGGGTTAATAAACATCCCTTAATACAGGTGGGTTAATTAACATCTCTTAATACAGGTGGGTGAACTAAAGTCTCTTAGTACAGGTGGGTTAATTAACATCTCTTAATACAGGTGGGTTAATAAACATCTCTTAATACAGGTGGGTTAATAAACATCTCTTAATACAGGTGGGTTAATTAACAACTCTTAATACAGGTGGGTTAATTAACAACTCTTAATACAGGTGGGTTAATAAACATCTCTTAATACAGGTGGGTTAATTAACAACTTTTAATACAAGTGGGTTAATAAACATCTCTTAATACAGGTGGGTTAATTAACAACTCTTCATACAGGTGGGTTAATAAACATCTCTTAATACAGGTGGGTTAATTAACAACTCTTCATACAGGTGGGTTAATAAACATCTCTTAATACAGGTGGGTTAATTAACAACTCTTCATACAGGTGGGTTAATAAACATCTCTTAATACAGGTGGGTTAATTAACAATACGACTTACATATTTTATTACAGCAGCATGATTGAGGTTGGTTGGTAAGGGTTTGAAATTAACATAAGGCTGGTATTCCAAGGGTGGTAACAGTCAGGAAGGACCAGTGTCATTTCCGTTTGAACCACCACTTTTAATATTAGGTAAATGGCAACTTTGGAGCAGATCATAGTTGCAGACTTGTGTTTGTTTGCTTGTTTGTTGTAGTTTAACGTAGCACTCATCAATATTCCAGCTATATGACGTCTGCAAACGTGTGAAAATCTAACTTAATTCTGACCCTTAATTCATCATTTCTATCTGCCACAGCTATATACCATAAATGGATGTTGTCCTTGATTAATGTTAAAAAATATGTGATGTGTTGCAGGTCTTCTGTTGTCAAAGACAATACAAGGAACCGTTGCTAACAGCGAGATGGGCGGGGTGGACTTTGACCAATCATGGCTCTGTATGATGTGAGTTCTGTGACTGTCGTATATCACAAGTTCTGTGATTGTTGTATTCTATATGTCAATGACTTTTTATTCTGTCAGTTCTCTGAAAGTTCTATTGTCCGATGACTTGAACGTATGAACTTTGAAGTAAAACAATGCACGCACACATGCACACACAATATTGCCAATAAAGTGCCAAGCCAAAGAAAGTACCGGTATATACCCATGTTTGATGGTGGCTACAAATGACCAAACAAGAAATGGTTATTCGATAGTGATGTATGTTTCACAGTGTTTGAACTTGTTTGGCAACCATATAAAGATCTATACCGAAACATTGCCTTTACAGTAAATAAAGAAGTTGTTATCCAGAAATTGTGCCTACTTTGGTCATCTTTCGAAGCCAATTCATTCTATCATCCATCACCCCTAATATGTCCAGGCACAGGTTGTAACTTCTGATCTTGTTTTGTAAATATCAGGGCGCCAGGCTAAATGAGCACTAGCTGCCACAACTTCTAAACATTATGCCTCCAAAATCTCTTGATTGCGATTCTGCTACATGATAGCTCATGAAGTGCTACTGACAGCAAAGGCCCTTTTATTGAATGATGTGTGTATTCTGTGTAGATTGAAAACTGAGTTTCAGTACAGATGGGCTTGGAATATTTCCATTTTGAAGATTAATGTAGTATATTTAATCCATTTATGACATTTGTTGCAATGAACCTTTTTGAACATGTTAATGTTAATTGTGTCCATTTTGTGTTTGTAATATAGAAGGGATTTCTGCTATAGGTTAGGAACAAATGTTGTTTATGAATATTGGCACCATCTTTTTAATATTTGGTATACTATAACTGTTGAAGTTTAACCAATATCAAACTAAACACTTTAGTAAGGGTGAGACTGTTGGTGAGGGGAGGTGAAATGGGGTTTAACATCGTGATCAAGATTATTGCACTTATGTAACGACATGCATGCACATGTGTGTGTGGCTGCTTGTACTAGTCCGGATTAATGCCAGTTTTACAATGCTACCCCACTGAGATACCGTACCACAATTTAACATGAATACCCCACTCAGACCCGTGAAGATCCGGGTAAGAATAGGTCTTCAGCAACCCATGCTTGCTGTCAAAGGTGACTCTGCTTGTCGTAAGTGGCGACTGATGGGATCGGGAGGTCAGGTTTGCTGACTTGGTTGATGCATGTCATCGTATCCCAATTGCATGGATCGATGCTAATGATATCAATTACTGGATTGTCTGGTCCAGATTCGATTATTTACAGATCGCCGTCATATAGGTAGAATATTGCTGAGTGCAGCGTTAAACAACAAACAAACAAATCAGACACAGGATACTGACTTCGAGCTGACCAGTTCTTGTTTTATCCTCTTAATGCCAAGCGCCAGACAGGGTAACAACAAGTACCATCTTTTAACATCTTTGGTATGAAGTGTCCAGGGATCACACCCCCACCTTCCCACTCTCCGGGCACAAACTCTAGCCACAACACCACAGAGATGGTCTGAGACTGTAGGGACAGACAGTATCCATGCATGTCATCACTCCATAGCTCTGGAGCACTAAGTGGATTGTATATAATATTTGCCAATGCATGTCCTCTACAGTGATATAATTCATGATACAGACTAGTAATTTGGTCATCTTTCGAAGCCAATTCTTTCTATCATCCATCACCCCTAATATGTCCAGGCACTGGTTGTAACTTCTGATCTTGTTTTGTAAATATCAGGGCGAGAGGCTAAATGAGTACTAGCTGCCACAACTTCTAAACATTATGCCTCCAAAATCTCTTGATTGCGATTCTGCTCCATGATAGCTCATGAAGTGCTACTGACAGCAAAGGCCCTTTTATTGAATAATGTGTGTATTCTGTGTAGATTGAAAACTGAGTTTCTTTACAGATCAGCTTGGAATATTTCAATCTTGAAGATTAATGGAGTATATTTAATCCATTTATGACAATTGTTACAATGAACCTTTTTGAACATGTTAATGTTAATTGTGTCCATTTGTGTTTGTAATATAGAAGGGATTTCTGCTATAGGTTAGGAACAAATGTTGTTTATGAATATTGCCACATTGTTTTTAATATTTTGTATAATATAACTGTTGTAGTTTAACCAATATCAAACTAAACACTTGAAAATGAATAAGAATGATGTTCTCGAGGGAGATTTGCCTCATATCTATTACCATATTCACCCTATAAACGCAACGCTCCAGTAAGCAGACAATGAATTACTTGAAGAGCACCCAGCACTTAGCCTGAATATTGAAATGACAGTCCTTATGTTCTTGTGCATATAACAGACCCTTGTTAGCGAACACACCAGGGTACACCCAGATGGATGACATACTTTGTCAATGGGAACCCAGTTTTGTTCTATGTCATTCTATCACTGACGCCACAACACCAGCCTGTCACACAGTAACATCATTCACACCATGGTGTGTGGCAGCATCCACACAACACCAGTGTGTCACACAGTAACATCATTCACACCACGGTGTGTGGCAGCATCCACACAACACCATCCTGTCACACAGTAACATCATTCACACCATGGTGTGTGGCAGCATCCACACAACACCAGCCTGTCACACAGTAACATCATTCACACCATGGTGTGTGGCAGCATCCACACAACACCAGCCTGTCACACAGTAACATCCTTCACACCATGGTGTGTGGCAGCATCCACACAACACCAGCCTGTCACACAGTAACATCATTCACACCATGGTGTGTGGCAGCATCCACACAACACCAGCCTGTCACACAGTAACATCATTCACACCATGGTGTGTGGCAGCATCCACACAACACCAGCCTGTCACACAGTAACATCATTCACACCATGGTGTGTGGCAGCATCCACACAACACCAGCCTGTCACACAGTAACATCATTCACACCATGGTGTGTGGCAGCATCCACACAACACCAGCCTGTCACACAGTAACATCATTCACACCATGGTGTGTGGCAGCATCCACACAACACCAGCCTGTCACACAGTAACATCCTTCACACCATGGTGTGTGGCAGCATCCACACAACACCAGCCTGTCACACAGTAACATCATTCACACCATGGTGTGTGGCAGCATCCACAAGCAGCTCATCACAGCAGCCCATCAGCTTCCCAGGTATCTGTCACACGAAATCTGTTACATCAGCTCACAGAAATAGGCTCATCTAACTCCAGGGGTCACACAACACTTCAGATCATCCACCTTAAATAATGTATAAATAATGTAATGAAGACTGGTGAACAGGCTATAGTTGTGGGACAGTGTACACGGTTGACAGCGTTTAGTTAGGGTGAGATTGTTGGTGAGGTGAGGTGAAAGGTGGTTTAACATCGCGATCAAGATTATTTCACTTATGTAACGACATGCATGCACATGTGTGTGTGGCTGCTTGTACTAGTCCGGATTAATGCCAGTTTTACAATGCTACCCCACTGTGATACCGTACCACAATTTAACATGAATACCCCACTCAGACCCGTGAAGATCCAGGTTAGAATAGGTCTTCAGCAACCCATGCTTGCTGTCAAAGGTGACTCTGCTTGTTGTAAGTGGCGACTGATGGGATCGGGAGGTCAGGTTCGCTGACTTGGTTGATGCATGTCATCTTGTCCCAAATGCGTGGATCGATGCTAATGATATCAATTACTGGATTGTCTGGTCCAGATTTGATTATTTACAAACCGCCGTCATATAGGTAGAATATTGCTGAGTGCAGCGTTAAACAACAAACAAACAAATCAGACACAGGATACTGACTTCGAGCTGACCAGTTCTTGTTTTATCCTCTTAATGCCGAGCGCCAGACAGGGTAACAACAAGTACCATCTTTTAACATCTTTTGGTATGATGTGTCCAGGGATCACACCCCCAACCTCCCACTCTCCGGGCACACACTCTAGCCACAACACCACAGAGATGGTCTGAGACTGTTGGGACGGCCACATATCCATGCATGTCATCACTCCATACCTCTGGAGCACTAAGTGGATTGTATATAATATTTGCCAATGCATGTCCTCTACAGTGATATAATTCATGATACAAACTAGTAATTTGGTCATCTTCCAAATCCAATTCTTTCTATCATCCATTGCCCCCAATATGTCCAGGCAGTGGTTGTAACTTCTGATCTTGTTTCGTATATATCAGGGCGCCAGGCTAAACCAGCACTAGCTGCCACAACTTCTAAACATTATGCCTCCAAAATCTCTTGATTGCAATTCTGCTCCATGATAGCTCATGAAGTGCTACTGACAGCAAAGGCCCTTTTATTGAATGATGTGTGTATTCTGTGTAGATTGAAAACTGAGTTTCAGTACAGATGGGCTTGGAATATTTCAATCTTGAAGATTAATGTAGTATATTTAATCCATTTATGAAAATTGTTGCAATGAACCTTTTTGAACATGTTAATGTTAATTGTGTCCATTTTGTGTTTGCAATATAGAAGGGATTTCTGCTATAGGTTAGGAACAAATGTTGTTTATGAATATTGCCACATTGTTTTTAATATTTCGTATAATATAACTGTTGTAGTTTAACCAATATCAAACTAAACACTTGAAAATGAATAAGAATGATGTTCTCGAGGGAGATTTGCCTCATATCTATTACCATATTCACCCTATAAACGCAACGCTCCAGTAAGCAGACAATGAATTACTTGAAGAGCACCCAGCACTTAGCCTGAATATTGATATGACAGTCCTTATGTTCTTGTGCATATTACAGACCCTTGTTAGCAAAGACACCAGGATACACCCAGACGGATGACATACTTTGTGAATGGGAATCCAGTTTTGTTCTATGTCATTCTATCACTGAAGCCACAACACCATCCTGTCACACAGTAACATCATTCACACCATGGTGTGTGGCAGCATCCACACAACACCAGCCTGTCACACAGTAACATCATTCACACACGCCAGCCTGTCACACAGTAACATCATC